AAATAATTATTAATAGTAATAAAATACAGTAATAACAGCATTGTATTATTATTTAACAGGTAAACTTGTATAATGTTTTGAAATCTATAAAAACAGTTAACTCCTTTGTATTTAATTTAGTGATAGAAATAGAACCTCACTGCACTTGTGTTACAGATTAATGCCTTGGTTTCAAAGTTAAACTTTCTGAGCTTTTTTCTTATCATTTATAAATTTCAAAGTCTCTTTCTCACATTACTTCTATGTTTTAGTCTAACGTTAATATAGCTTTTTTATTTGATTGAAAATGTTCTCCTTCCCCTTTTATAGCTAATTTTTTATTAGCATTCTTGGATTAAACTCGAAATTTATATTTTCTACAATAATTTAATTCTGAAAATTCTATATCTATTTTCAAACTGTGATATAAAGTGAGAAGCTGATGACTGCTTCATTGTAAGATATGATCCACTTATATTTTATTTGTAAATGCTTTTTAAAAAAATTGCCAAACTTCATCATGTTCGGTTATTGACTGATTTCATGATTTAATTGTACAGTCTGTGGGTTTGAATAACATACTTATTTTATGTGTAGGGTACCAGTGAACTTACTCATTTCTATGCAAGTTGAAGACGGTGCTGAGCCCAGAATTTTACAACGACATTTGTTTGGCTGGGGCTCTTAGAACTTAACCATGTATGTGTGAAACATGGCCCTCCTGCCCTAATACAGTCTTCTAAATCAAGTTATCTAGTTTGGGGCAGTATCTGGATGTTTTCCACCCAATCTGTTAGAAGCTCAACCTGAGTTGTAGAAAAATGAGTGTTGATCTGAACATTCAGCAGATAAATTTTTCAAAGAGAAGAGCAAAACAAGGAAAAACTGGAATCATCTTTTCCTCTCATTTTTCCATTTTCTCAGTTTCTTCCCTGTAACATGCCTCATCCTAGTGCCTCCACCAACTTCTGCGAAGCCTGGGTGGTGGCAGTGTGAAACCTGCAGCAGAGGGCTGAGTGGGGGGCTGGGAATCCCCCTGAGGCACTGCTTACTAATGCAATTCCATAAATCAACTAATGGGAGAGAAACCAGATCTGTGTGGTCTCTAATGCGGTCCCTCAGAGATCAATCATGTCACCTGAACAATGTTCAGGAACTAAGAGGCCAGGGTTGCCCACGAGACAACTTTATCCCTTGAGCCATATCAGATGGGGATGTTTTTAAAAGTTAGGTCTTAGAATCAGAAACATAACTTCTGTGAATATAAGAGCCAAAGAATTACCTTTGCGAGAGACACAGTGTTATTACATAACTTATCAAAAGGATCTCCTCTATTATATTTATCAAAGTATCAAGGAAATTATTATTGATCATTGACAATACAAGTTTTTAGAATAAATTCTGTCATAAAGCATTGATAAATACTGCTTGGAATATTTAGTAGTTATTTTAAATACAATAATTGACTAAATGAACAGTGGCATATGCAAGTATATGGTGCACAATATTACAGAAAAAAAAAGCCTAAATAATTTGTGTGCATTATCACATTGCTTATCATCAAGGGGTGATTTTATAAACATATTTCTAGAGTATGAAGATGCTCTTAAAGTGAGACTAAGCAGAAACAATCATAGAGATAACTAAAGTGGTTTTAAAAGGAATGCTAGAGGGGAAACTTTTAAAAAATGCAGGCAAGAATCCCAACATATTCATGTGAGTCTGTCTTAAATTCAATTTATTCACCCTGAAAATATCTGATTATGCCTCCAGCCTAGAGGGAGGAGAACAAGTGAGGAAGATAAAGGGCACGGAAGGTTTAAAGTGATAAATTAGAATGTAAGTTGTAATTGTCATCCAGATGTTAATTGATGTCCATAATTTAAAGCCAACAAATATGATCTACTGAGTTTACACCTGAAACCCACAAGCCCATAATGAGTCCCCAAATCACTGCCCTCTGCCAGGAGTACATCCACTCTATAAAACACTCCCTCAAATGATGATGGGCCCAATCAGGATGGAAGCCAGGTCAGCAGGGGTGCTTTTCACTGACCCACACCCAAGGAGTCCAGCTTTGGTTCAGGCATGTACTACTTATCAGTCTGACACACGTCCAGCTGGCTTCCTACAGCCACAACTGGTGTTTTCACATAGGTTTCAAGGAGTCAAGCTGCCATTGTCTTTTTTAATGACCTAAATATAATCTTAAGCAATTTTGAAAAACTCTGCCAAACAGCATTCCGCTAATAAACTTAGCCTTGAAACACAACCCATGCTCTGATAGGGAGAGATCTGTATTGAGAACATCTTGACAGTTCCACAAAAGGAGAAAATTTGCTTCCTTTCCTATTCACACCCCACCTCAGAAGATCAACAAAACTTGCACACAGAAATTTTTACGAAGAACAAAAAAAAAAAAATTCAAATGAATTTTGTAATTGAAATGCCTATGGAATTTAAACATCACAACAGCAGTGGAAAACAAATAAGGGGGGAAATTGGAAATTTATGAAATCTATTTGGACTCATTCATGAGTATAAAAGCATATAAAGAAAATAGGGTAGGCGTTTGCCTAGCGATTAAGATGCCTGTGTCCTACACCAGTGTCTGGGTTCTGTATCTGGCTCTAGCTCCTGACTCCAGTTTTTTGCCAGTGCAAACCCTGAGCGGCAGTGGTAATGGCTCAAGTACTTGGGTCCTACCACCCACCCACACAGAAGACCTGACCAGCCTCAGCTGTTGGGGGCATTTGGGAGAGTGATCCAGCAGATGAGTGTGTGTTCTCGCTCTCTCTCTTTCTGTCTCTCTCATTAAAAAAGGCAGCATCTTCTACATGGCATCTATTTGTAGTTATTTTAAGCTGTTCTGGATTGATTATTTATTAAATAACCAGAATTATTCCGTGATCTTATCCATGACATATCCTAAATTGTGATGCCGGCAGTGTGAAGCATCCAGCTAAAGATGAGGCCTCTAAATGACACCAAATCTTTAACTGTAGATACAACATTTCAAGAGGGAAAACAAAATCCTTACCAAATGGGCATTAACCCGTTCTGTCCCATCAGCCAATATATAGGACAACTAAAAATGAGCAACAAATCTACCATGTATGATAACTTTGAAATAAATATGATGAATTGAAATTTTTGCAGAATTGAAAACTTGGGACCTAAGGGGTTAATACAGGAAATGTCAGTATGAGTGAAATTTTAATTTTTCATGGACCTTAGAAGTTCGGATAGACTACACTAAATTGATCCAGGAAAGAGAATCCAAAAGCTAATTTTCCACCTAAGAGGATGCATAGATCTGTTTTAGATTTGCTATTATCTTTGCTCAAAGGAAATGGAATCAACCACCTTGCAGAAAAGTTAAACTTTCAACAAAGAGATGCCTTCTCTTCTAAAGAGGAAGAAGAGAAATAGTTTGATAGAACTGGTCATAATCAATAATGATACCAATATAGTTCTGATTATTTTGGAATCCCAAAGTGCGTTGAGTTGTACTAATAAACGTAAAAAAAAAAAAAGTATCTTCTTTGTGTTCAAACCTACAACAAAATTCTTTAAATCTTTTGCTATATCCTTTTAGAGACAACTTTGCAGTTCTTCACAGAGAAAATTCTTCTATGAAGCATTCACAATGTAAAAAAAAGTCCAGGCACCTCTCTGAGGAAAACTTTTGGGAGCCACTCTGGCCCTGCAATCCAGCCCACAGAATCTTTCCAAATGCTAAATCCACCACCTACTGTCCATGTAAATATGAGCATCTATCCATCTACTCTGAAAAGCTTATCAGTGGACTCACTCTAATTACTTGTCCACATTTCTTCACTTTAATACCACCAAACCCCTTTACTAGTGATTTTTGCCCCCTTTTCTCTGACAAGGATATCAAATGAAATTTCAAACACATCAACCTCTGTATTTAACATAATCCAAAGCCTAATTTAACGATTCCTTTAGTGATCATCTGTACAATGCATTTTAAGGACATATGGGAAAAAAGAAACTAATAGTGACTATATGAGGAATCTACCAAAACTGCTTGGTGAGATGAACAATTTTGCAACCACAGAATCGTTACTTTGTCGAATGAAGGGGGGAGGGGGAATTTTGTTGTAACTGTTACAGGAATTATTCATTTTTGAAACGAGGTAAATTAATTTTTAAACAAAATCACCATGATTTGCCTCAAAAAATTAAATGATTGCCTCCCTTTATTCTGTGTCACATCTTGAAAACTGCAGGTGGTCATCAGCTTTCTACAGGATTTCTGCTTTCTCAAAAAAAAAAAAAAACCGCAGGAAATAAGAAACAGAAACATTGTGTCATGTCGAAAAGAAAAACTATTCTCGAAGGGGGTGGAAATTCCCCTTTGGAATTCAGGTATTGCAGCTTCAATGATTAATGCTCTCTGGGTTTTTTCTTTTTTTTCTCTTGTTTTGGTTTCAGTATTTTAGTTTGAGGTTTTGTTTTTTTTTTTTCTTTTCCTTTCTTTTCTTTTTTTTTTTTTTTAAATGAGAGAATAAGGCTTATGTGCCACAAACTGTGTCCTTGCTGCTACGATTGGGCCACCAATCAGCCTCTCTCAGCTAGTAAACGTATATAGGATGTGATGTGTCCAGCCCTTAGGGCAGAATGCCCCCCCCCCTTTTTTTTTCAATGAGGAGGAGGGGACATTCCAAACCGTCAAGGGAAAGGACTGACCACACTGAATGTGAAACTTCTGGTTCTGCAAACCAATTGCAAGACTTCTCCCCCCAGATGAACAGGACGGGCACCATCCCTGTGAGGAGGGCGGTTCCCCCAAGAAGTGCGGCAGGGGCGGGTGGGGTGTGTGTGCTCGCGCAGAGGCCACCAGCCACCTACAACTGGGTCTTACACCTGAGAGAGGCTTCGGCAAGGGGGCACTGCATCCTGAAGCCAGACCAGAGGCCCTGAAGAGGGGGAGAAGAGAGGGGCGTGAGGAGGGAAGGGGGGAGACTGGGAAACAAGAAATCATCTCCTCTGACCTCTAGCGAAGTGCCAGGTTTTTTCTTTAGCTCTTCACATTTTCTAAATTTGCAGATCTGGTGTCCCGTTTTGCGGTTCCTGCAACTGCTGCAGACGCCACAGTTGATGAGCCTCTTGCAGGGCACGCAGACCCCACACCTTTTCCTCTTCTTCTTGGCCGGGTTGGCTCCGCCAGCTCCCCCTGAGGAGGACGAGGAGGAGGAGGAATGATTCTGCGGGCAGTCTGCCAGATTGGCAATTTGAAACGCACTGTCTGTGACGGCTGCTGAGGCTGCTGCGGGGGAGTGAAGGGCTGTCATGACGATGACCCCTGGAGGTAATGAGATGCCCCCTAAAGCCGGGATAGCGGAAAAAGTCCCCACGCGCTCGGGGAGATTCATTATCTCTGCTTCAGCAGCGCCGCATTTGAGCTTGTTCATGCATTCCCCCGCCAAAGGTCTGCAGTGTTCAGGGGATAAGGTGGAGAGGAAATTAGTATTTGCCATTTGCAACGACGGCTCTGGCGGGCAGCCAGCTTTCCCCAGCCGCTGGGAGTCGTTTCGGTGGTGCATGCTGGTCCTGCTGCCGCCGCCGCCGCCGCCGCCGCCACCACCGCCGCCGCCGCCGCCACCGCCGCCGCCGCCACCGCCGCCGCCGGCGGCCGCGGGGAGGATCGCCGAGGAGGAGGCGGAGGAGGAGGCGGCGGCGGAGGAGGATTTCCTGCCGCCCCCGCCGCCCCCACCCCCGCCCCCGCCGCCGCCGCCCCCGCCCCCGCCGCTGCCCCAGAGCATGGCGGTGGCGGCGGCGGCGGTGGCCGCGTTGTCACAGTTCCAGGGGGACATGCCGATGCGCGCGGCGGCCGCGGCGGCGGCGGCGCTGCTGGGGAAGATGGGGGTGGTGATGCGCGCGATCTTGGCCGCCTGCGGGAAGGCGCCCCCGTTGGTCTTGTAGAAGGAGGTGGCGAAGGAGCGGTAGCGCTCCATCTCCGAGTTGTAATCCACAAGGCTGTTCAGGGCCCCCTCGGGCAGGTGGCTCTCCTTGGGCAAGCCCGGGGCCTCCGGGCTCGGCCCGGGCTCCACGCAGACATTGGTGTTCATGGTGCAGGGGGGGAAGAAGGGGTGCAGGGTGGAAGTGGGGACCGCCTGGTCCGACACCGGGGTGGGAAAGGGGGAGAGGTGGGGGGGCGGGAAGGGGGTGATGGTGGAGTCGGGGCGGGGGCCGAGGCGGGAGGGGAAAGTGGGTCCGGGTGGGGACAGCAAGGTGAGGGCTGCTTTATTCCTCTCTGGGGCGCATTTCCACAGACGGCGAATTCCCAGGCAGCGTCTTCCTTTGCATTATCCTCCAACTGTTTCAACTAAAATAAAGAGAGTCATTCCAACCAGCTGCACGAGGAAAAAGATTAAAAAATAAATTAAACAGGCTTCCCTCGGCTTAGCCCTCCCGCAGACCCCCGGACAGCTCCCCACATTTTCGGGTCAGGTTCGTTTGCATAACAATCATCAAGATGTGACACCCCCCCTCCCCATTCACATCTCGTCCCCCCCCCCCCCACCACCACCACCGCGCTCCCAACCCCTGCTCCCTCCCTCCCCCCTCCCCGCCTCCCCACAGAAACCACAGCTCCTCCCCCCTATTCTTATAACCCTCCTGAGAAAATGTATTAATAGCCAGGGTACCCCGGGAAAGAGGGAAGACCGGGGTGACAAATGCCGAGGGAAAAGGGCAATTGGAGTGCTAAAGACATGCAAATCAGGGGTGGGAGGGCGATACTACCTATAAGCAGAGGGCATTTAAACATTATGAAATGTGTGAACAAGTGCTGCCTGGGCATGCAAATGCTGTAAAGTGGAAAGCAGCAATGGCCCTATGAGGAAAATGAACAGGAAATTAGCAAATGAAGTACTGAGAAAGTCTACAATACATCCGAGTATAAACTGTAAGCAAACACAATACAACTGAGAGCTGAGAGACTGCCCACATACAATCTGAACTAAAGAGGCAGGGAAAAAAGAACTACCAGCTGCCACAGTGTCCTTCTGTGTCTGCGGTCATTAGTTTGAATCCCAGCACAGCTGGCTCTGTTAGGGTCTTAATTCAATGGACCAAGGACAGGTCTCAATTGTACAAGCCATTTGGTGGTGGGGCTTGGTGGTGGGGGTAACACGGTGGTGTTCTACTTGTTTAAAAGAAAGGAAGAAAAGAAAGATAGACTGGATAAATTAAAAAAAAAATACAGTGTCACAGGGTTTAAACCAAGTGCCTGCAGCCTCTGTGAGAATATTCCCAATCAGTCCTAATGGAGATTGCTGTCCTTCCTCAGACAAGAGGAACAGAAAGCATGGGACTTTCTCTCTCTCTCTCTCTCTCTCTCTCTCTCGGTCTCTCACAATCACTGATTTTTACATTGAGTAAAAAGGGGATTTTTTTTCCTCGTGGTGATGTTAAACTCGGAGAAATAGACCATTAAAATGAATTTTTTCTCTTTTGCTATTTTTAAGAGGAAAGTTTAATGTTAACTGAATATTTGCATTTGTCTCTTTGCTTACAGGCCATTATTATGCTTTAGGAAGAGGTATGTTAGTTGTTTATAACAGAGGGAGAAGTACAATATCACCTTTTAAGAAGGGAAGCAAAGACAACGTGTATATTCACCTAAAAAAACCCAGTTTCTTTGTTTCAGAATTTTTTTTTGCCAGAAAATATTTTTATGACATCTTTTTGAAGCCCACAGATGGGTCTAGAATGTAGGGTTCAGGGAATTCTAAATGAGGGCCCAGTGGTCGCAGTCTCAAATATTCAGAGTTCAAAATGCATATCAATTATAGTAATTATACTTATAATTAGATTAATGAACCATTTATGCCCCAACTCCAAGTATAAAAACTTCAAGACCTACTGATGAGGTGCCCTAAAAAGAGGGGTTTATGTAAACAAATCCCTATTAGGCAAAGTAAATCAAGATAAGGAACCTCACCCCAGGCTGGATTAGAAGCTGGCAGGCATCTTTCAATCACAGCAAGTCCCTAATCACTCAGGAACCACCTCTGTGGTTTCACATTAGGGAAAACTGCTCCCTTCTGAGGTCTGAAGGCAATACAAAGGGTGCCCCCAAAATGCTCCTGGCTAAATATTCTTGAAGCTAGGAAGGGGGTGGGGAAAGACACAGCAAGAATATGCATACAGCTTCAGTTTCTGCGAATCACATTGTAACTGCAAGACCATAATAACTGCTACTCAGTAAAAACTAGTTATGCCAACCATGCATTAGATATCGTCACACTGAGTGGAGGGAAACATTTCAAACATCTGAGTCTTCTGACCTTATTCCAAAGAAAGAAATAATTTCATGTCCCCTTTTGCCAGAGTCTTGGAGTGATGTTTCCAGACAGAAGGTTTCCTGGCTTTCCTGACTGCCATCACCTCCCCAGCTTCCTACCTCCAGGTTCAATGCCACCAGAAACTAGAGAAAATGATTGTGCCCAGTAGCCAGGTCATTATTGTTTAATCAATGCATCTCTGGAGCATGAAAAGGGTACCTAGGCCACAGCTATTGTTTGGATTTTATTAAAAAACAAAATGAAACACACACAAATAACTATAGTTCCACAGCAAAGCTAAATTAGACATCCATAGTTCACGCGCCTGTTTTCCCTTTCAACAATGTGACTGTACATGCCTAATATTGTCTGTCTGGTCTACCAGAGACATAGAGATCAAAGGTCATATTTAACATTCAGGAGGAGGGGCGGGTGCAGATTAATTAATAAATTAATACAGCCACGGTTTTCATTGCAGGAGTCCAGCATGAATAATCTACTTTCACAATCCCAAACGGACAGCAAACATTTAAGAGAAAAAAAAAGCCAGCGGAAGAGAAAGAACAATCACTTACCAGTCTCTTTTTATTTGGGGAGCCTTAGAATTTGCAGACGCTGCTAGTCTGCCTTTAATTAGTTGCACATCACCCCCTAACACAAAGAAACACAAATCCAGATGTGTCTTGGCAGCTCCCAATCACAACTTTAATACTTGTAAACAAACTGTTGGGGAGGGGGAGAAATAAATATGCGGATCAAAAAAAAATACCTGTAAATGGCTTTTTTTTTTCTCGTTGCAGAGAGAAGGAGGAGGAGATGGTGTTAGTGGTGGGGGTGGAAGGAGGAGGAGGTGGGGGGAGGAAAGAGCCGAGTGTGAGTGTATGTGTGAGAGCGCGGGGCTGCTGTCGGTGGTCTCTCCTCTCCCAGCGCGTTGCTCTCCGTCCGTCTCCAGTCGCTGTGTGCGAGGGAGGGAGGGAGCCGGGGACTCTCTCCCCTCTCTCTCTCCTCTCTCTCTCTTTCTCACCCTCCCCCCTTCCCTCTCTGTTTGTGTGTGTGCGTGTGTGCGGTGGCTGGGGGAGGGGAGCGGGAGAGAAAGGCGAGGGAGGAGGTGTGGAGGCTGGGGGCGGGGGCGCGGGGGGGGGCGGCTGGCGCCGAGGTGAGGAGGACGCAGGGACGTGGACACCTACTGATGATTGGCTGCACATTACACGGGGAACAAGAGGCGCACGCGGGCCGGCGCTCCTTTTCACAAATCCTCTGCTCAGCACAGGAGCCACGTTTCCCTGCTCGCCTGCCGCCCGCCCTCCCTCCCCGCCTCAGCCCGCCCGGCGCACTGGGCTGTTGATTATTTTCTTTTGCTCTGGGAGATAATTGTTTGGAAGGGATGGAGAGAGGGCGTTTCCGCCGCTCTCCCTCTGCGCGCGGGGGTGCGTGTGTGCGTGTGCGGTGTGCGGGTGTGTGTGTGTAAATAAACTTGTCTGGGATTTCTGGCTGGACTGAGAAGAGCAACCTGAGAAACAGAGAAAAGGTCGTGTTCTTTGGAAGAATGCTCTTGGTTTGCTCCCCACCTTAAATATTTCTCTTGGAGTACCCAGGAAGACAGGAAAAAAATCACCATCATTTATATCTTTAAAGTAGGGGGCCAGGGATCGGTATTTAGTTGTTCAGAACCCTTGAAATACAAATACGTGTGAATGTAAGAAATCGGTGATGTGATGTTTATCTCAAAATTAATCCCCCCCCCTTTAGAAACTACCCTTCTGGTAGTTTCAAGGATTAAATCAGATTTTTAACTCACTGCCCTATTTTACATTCCAAACTTTTCTTAAACAAAAACTACTTTTAATCTCAAGTAACCTATTTTTTACTAGTAGGTGATTAACATTTTACTTCCTGTCACTTGGGAAAAAATAGTTTAATAATTGAAAGATAAATCTTTTTAACAAGGGTCAAATAAAACGCGCCTAAATGCAGCTATGAGTTAACCTCTTCACTGCTGTTTCAAAGAAAATGAGATATTTTGGGTGCATGCTGTCCTATTGACCTATACTGTTTCTATTAGAGTTATTAAATGATATAAATTATGAGTCCTTTCAGATAATTTTTATTCGAGAAAACAGTGGTTAATGACATTATAGAATATAAAATTTAGATTGTTTAAATTGTTACAGAGGAGAGTAAAAGTTTGTGTTAAAATTAAAACTGTATTCCTGCAATGTGGTAATTAATAATAATTTCAGAGAGGGAAGAAAACTATCATGATGAGTTGGTTCTTTTATAAGAACAAAATGCTGAAAGGACATTTTAGATCATTTTGTATTTGAATTTCCAAAAGATTGTCCTTGAACATAGCAAGATTCTACCCATGATGGAGGGTAGATTGTTGATAAGATGTCAGGAACCCTGTCAGATAGGAAGGTGCTATTTCAAGGGCAAGTATTGTAGTACAGGACAGATGGGGTTTGTGACTCATTGATTTGCATGTTTTGACATATTTAAAACAGACTAAGTTTGGTGATAACTGTTATTTGGCAAAATAACTGGATGGTTAACAAATAGTTATTTATGCTTATAAGGTTTTTTTATATTGTGCTAATGCTTTGTGAAAGCAAGGAATTATATTTTCTTTTTGAGGTTGTTTGAGCTAAGCATCACAGGAGATTTATCACGAAATGTAGTCACCTTTTAATGAGGGAAACTCTTCCAGGAAGATGATAGTTTCTTAAAATTCTTTTCAAGATATTTAACATATCAGTCCAATGGTAGAATTTTTTGAAATGTGTAAATCAGCAATTTTTTAAAAACTCAAATATAACCATCATGCTTTCTCATGCCAAGTTTTACTTTCTGGAAATTTTCCTCATTAGAAATTCTTTTTTTCATGCTTCCCTTTTGAGGATTCTTCCAGCTTACTTTCAAAATGAAATCTTAAACAAATGAGGAAAAATAACCTCTAGATTCCCAAGAATTTTATTTTCTCACTGATAAAACACAGAACACTGAATGTTAACAATGCAAGCTACCACTAAAATGACTCACCTGTATCAGACATTGTCCTAAGTAACTGGCAGATGTTTTATTTTGCCCTTGTTAATAACCCTATGAGGCATTATTATTTCCATTTTAGAAATAATGAAACTGAGGCCTAGAGAAATTAAGTAACCTATATTAGGTCATAAAGTTAGGCTGAAATTTATACTTGATTCTGTCTCCATGCTTTATGCTTATAACGTCTACCTTAGTTTGACTATCAATAATTCATCCATTAGTAAACTTTTTCTGGGCACTAGAACCTTAGATTTAATTATAAATGAAGCTTCTTCATTAATATGACATTAATTGAACATATAGAATAAATGAATTCCATGGCTCTGTCATAGCATCCATTGCCTGCCCACTAAAGATTTCATTTCACCCTAAGCCAAATTGATTATGTGTATATATATTCATATATTGTATGTATATAATGATTACATATTATATATATATATCTACCTCACATCATCTAGTTTTTTTTCTTTACAATAGTTTAGACATTTGTATATTCACATGTCCCACACTAGCCTATGCCCTGTGTTCTTTTTCTCCAAAATGATACGTAAAGGTCTTTTGTTGTTGTCGGAATTCTTCAAAAATTGTGTTCATTTACTTTATTTTGGAGACAGAGACAGAGAGACCTCTCATCTTCTAGTTCACTCCTCAAATGCCCACGAGTGAGGCACTCAATCCAGGTCTCTCACGTGGGCGGCAGGGATCCAACTACTTGAACCATCACAGCTGCCTCCCAGAGCCTGCATTATCAAGAAGCAAGAATCAAGAGTACATCCAAGACTCAAACCTCAGCACTCTGACCTTGGGATGTAGGCTTAACAAAAGCCATCTTAGCCCCTGTCATGACCTGGGGCTGGGTTCTGATAACAGTTTCTGAGAACATAGTTCTCTGCTAACTCTAATTCAGGGTCCAGAATTCTATGAAGCACTAACACTTTCGGTTTGTTCTCTCAGAGGAATGCCTGCTGCAGCTTCCAATCACATGGAATGGTTTGTGCCTTGCTTTACCCCGTTTTATATATCTTATAATCTGAAATAGGAGTGCAAGGGTTCCATAGATATCTTAAGAGAAATTTAAACTCCCAACTTGAGGATCCTTTAAGAGGTGCCCCCTGCCCACACGGATGTTATGTTGTACTATGAAATATCTGTGAATGACTGCCACCATCTTTCATGATGCTTGTCAACATCATCATTATTTCGGAATCCTTAAAAAGGAAGCTTGCCTATTGTACTGTAACAAATATATCCCAAAATATATCAATGCAAAAACCTTTGTAGAAGTATACTTTTTGCTCCTTTAGTAGTCCAGGGAGAGAATTGCAGGCTGGAAGACTGCTCTTTCTGAGTGATGCACAGATCCACTTGTCCTTCCATCTTGGGACTTTGCCATCAACCCCATCAAGCTCTCAGAAAGGCCTGGAGAATGCATGATCATCTTTTAAAAACCTTTTTCTTGAAGTGGAACACAACTTTGCAGCTCCCGTGCAATTGTCAAGAACAAGTCACATGCCATATCCAGCAGCAAATATTGCTGGGCAGCCACTTCAGAGATGCACCTCTGTTGCTGCAGAGAAGAGAAAAAATGTTGGTAGACAGCTGGCAGGCTCCACCACACAGTAATACTAGCAACAAAGTCACTTGCTAGAGAGATTAAGTGGACCACACAGCCCTGACCCTGACCTTGAGATTCTTCTCCCTGGGAGCTCTTTAGTTCTTTGTCACCCTTAGGCATTAAGGCTAGAAGCAGTCTTAATGACTTGGGGGAAAGTTTGGCTTCTATTAACAAATTATGCTTTCTTAAATACCTGTAAGACAACCAAGCCAAATTTAGAATATTCTAACAAGAATTTGCTAAAGTATAAAGAAAGAACTAACACAATCAGACGAAGTACCATAAATTAAAAATAAACTGATTTAGAGTTAATTTTGGGCACTGGAAGGAGCTTCTCTGCTGGTGTTTTCAACCCAGTGATAGTGTTTAACAACACACTAATGGGGTGCTCTGTATTAGTCACAAAACATGTTCATCATCCAGTTTAGAAAAGGAGTGTAGGCCGGCACGGCTCCTACACCCCAGAGTTCTAGTCCGGTCCCGGTCGGGGTGCTGGATTCTGTCCTGGTGGCTCTTCTTCCAGTCCAGCTCTCCTCTGTGGCCCAGGAGTGCAGTGGAGGATGGCCCAGGTCCTTGGGCCCTGCACCTACATGGGAGACCAGGAGGAAACACCTGGCTCCTGGCTCCTGGCTCCTGGCTCCTGGCTTTGGCTCAATGCAGTGCGCCGGCCGCAACGCGCCAGCCGCAGCGGCCATTTCAGGGTGAACCAACGGAAAAGGAAGACCTTTCTGTCTCTCTCTCCTCTCACTGTCCACTCTGCCTGTCAAAAAAAAAAAAAAAAAAAAAAAAAAAAAGGAGTGTAGAGCTTTTTTGCCTAACATCCTAGAACCCACATGAACCCACATCCCAATTCATGGTCGTGGTCTTAGGACTATCTTCTTTCCATGGTAATTCATACTGTAAATAATAGTAAAACAACTATACCATTTATAGAAGGAATATACTAACAAAGCAAATAGGGAATAACTTCTTTAGCTCTTCTTTGACTATTGTTACATGGGATATTTGTTTTTCTGATTTGCTTACCATAGTTTAAGGTTCTAGACATCAGGGACTATGTCTTAATTGGCTTTGAGTCCCACTTAATACTTACTTGCCACGTGAAAGGTTCATAACAATCTGTACTTTGCACACTGAAAGAAAGTAGCAGACACAAAATATGTGGAAGGTAAGTTTCCCATCGCCCATACAATAAAAATGCATATTTCACAAAATGGAGTGCAAAGTCCTCTACTTGGCCCTAGTGTTTGAATTCCCTCTCCTAATAGCCCCTCCAATTTCTCTCTACTCCAGCAGATCTACTTATTCTAGAAAACACTGTTCACCTTACCATGACCAGAGAAACAAAAACATCATTGATTAGTTAAGAACCATAAGCTAAGATGAAATACTGTTATTTATATGAAATACTTTTATATGTGATGAATTATTATAAATAATATTTTAAAATTTTAAGAGTATTTTCAGTTTCCTTGGTAGCT